CTGGCAGGATTTAAATCCTAAGCCTTCTCTTCTGACTCTTCCATGTTAATAGACTTCTGGTCATTATTTTCCCAGCCTTGAGATTGGGAGATACCTGTTCAATCTTTACATAGCCAGTTTCAATTGACTAGATCAGCACTGGTTGCCCCTTTTCCAGCTTACGCACTTATATATATGAAGGAACAGTGAATTAATTGAGAGGAAACGGAAGAGGGAAAAAGCCAAGGCTAGACGGAGTCAGTGAGATTCTCAAAAAGGAGGTAAGAAATTTAAAGAACAAATGACAGTATATTAAATGATTTATAAGGAACAAAAAGTTGAGGAGATGATACCAGCGTAAAATTTCCACTCTTTTGTCTCTTGAATGATTTCTCTGTTAAAATTAATTAGAATTTGTATATTCTTTGAAAGAAACAGATTAACTGAAATAAAGTCAAGTACAGTTGATCCTCTTTTAGTGACTGCCTTGTGTAACAACAATTTACAGTTATGACAGTAATGAAGAAATAACTTTGCAAGGAATCCTTGCATTTATGACTCTCTCAAGTCCATAAAGCAAAGGATAGTTGAAGTAAGATTATAAGCACAGTCACGGTTTCACTTAGTGACTGCTTTATTTAACAATCAAGTTGATGGTCCCATTTGTGGTCGATAAACAAAGGACTACCTTTTAGAAGAAATTTCATTTGCTGTGGCAGAAAATGATTTGTTGACTGACACTGTACATTGCAGCTTTCCAAATTCAATTTAACAAAAGTCAAACACAGCAAAAATAAGCAGTAATTCCACGAATCTGGCTTTAAAATTTAATTGATTTTCTAAAAGGAAATGAAGAAATAATTGTTGACATTTATTTAAGAAAAAATAACTTTAGTCTTTCTCCTGGAGTAATTGTTAAAGCTTAAAAAATAACCTATACTTGGAAAGGTGTTTAATTCTACTTACATATAGAAATATGTAATTATAAGCTACATGCGCAACAGGTTGCAGTGTAATACAAATACTATTAGATAAATAAGTTAATATGTTTATTTCTCAAATAACTGAACATTTCCCTTTTTACATTTCTCTTTAAACAAGAGAATGCCTATTTTAACACCTGTTCTTTCTTTTCGCTGCTTTGTCTACTTCCTTCCTCATTTTGATTGCTAATACCTGGAAACCTTTTTTGCCACCATATATGGAAGCACGCAGGGATAGGAGAAGAGTGGATAAATCACATCACAGAGGGAACTAATATTTCCATTCTAATTCAGCTACATATTTACAAGAATGTATGCAGAAGTAACTCCAAGTCAGAAGCAACTCTAAATAGCAACTAATAGCAATTACTATTAGTGATAGTAATAGTCTTATATGAAAATAATTCCTGTATTCAAACATCATATGCAGTTCAGTTTATTATTTTGACTAGCTAATAATTGGCCGTAAAAATATACCTCAGGTTATGAATCAAAATTTTGATTAAAATTTTCACACATCTCAGTGTTTTTCCTGAAGTTTCCCCACAGAACAGTCTTTAAAGATATGCTACTAGCCTTGGTACGCAACTCACAGAGGCATAAGCTTCTGATACTTTTTGTTCATTTTTCTTCTAAACTATATATATCATAGTGTAACATTTTCACCAATACTGAACAAGAGTTAAGATTTTAGTCATTGGATGTTGGATAATGTTAGACTGCAGACTTCTGTAGAGTCTGGAACTGTGGTTTTCATAAAAAAAAAATGCAGCACATTTAGAACGTAATTTTTTTGAAAGCATTTGATAAGAGTCAATGCTATTTGGATCTATCTTTAATACTACAGGTAGTCTTTGATGTACAACTATTCATTTAGTGTCCATTTGAAGTTACAGTGGCACTGAAAAATGTGACTTACGACAGTTTTTCACATTTATGATCGTTGCAGCATCTCCATGGTCACATGATCAAAATTTGTGTGCTTGGCAACTGGCATGTATTTATGATATGAACACAGAACATAAAATGACAAACTTTTGTCAAATTAAACTTACTTTTAGATAGGTTGCTTATAAAGTATGAATAGCAATAGCAACAGCACTTAGACTTAGATACCGCTTCACAGTGCTTTTACAGCCCTCTCTAAGCTTTAAGGTTTGCAGAGTTAGCATATTACCCCCAACAATCTGGGTCCTCATTTTACCCACCTCAGAAGGATGGAAGGCTGAGTCAGCCTTGAGCCTGGTGGGATTCGATCTGCCAAATTGCAGGCAACTGACAGGCAGCAGAAGTAGCCTGCAGTACTGCACTCTAACCACTGAACCATCCCAGCTCTTAATACAGCCAAATCTCAGCTTTTAGAGTATATGTATTCATAACAAAGAATATCTCACAACTAGGAAGGAGAAAATGTTTTTTTTTTACTTCACAAGTTCTAAGTTCTTGGAATTATTAAAATCACCTTTACCAAAGTTAAAAAAAGAAAGAAATTCAAGTAGTCACTAGGCAATCCATAACCCCTTGGATCAGCAGTCGCCAACCAGTGAGCTGCAGCCTACTGGTGGGCCATGAGAAAAATTTGCTGGGCCACAGAGATATCTCACCCCCAGAGTACCCCCACAAAGCAATCCAGGCTGTGCAGAAACACAAGGCTGCACCGCCCACATGGCCCTTGGGAACCCGCCCTGCCCACTCCTTACCCGGTAAACTTGCCTGCTAAATTTTTCCGACCATCATCTGCCTGCTAAATTTTTCTGACCATCGTCTGTTCTGCTGTGCCGGGAGATTTAGATTAGCTAGGAAGCAGGAAATGGTTGGATTTCTTGCTTTCTAGCTAGTCTTTAGATCTTCAGCTCTGCTTCCCTTAGGACTGAAGATTTGTTTGCAAGCAAATTCAGTGCAGACTCATGGCAAGCAAATTTGAGAGACTGAGCTAGCCGATGGCAGATAGATAGATCACTGAATGATTCTGTGATTCTGTGAGCAACTCAATCTGCCTGCCTGTTTTGCCTGAATTTGGGTAAAGGTTGCTCTTTTTTTTAAATAAAAAATTCAATATTTACATGCATAGTGTGTTGTGAGTTAATTTTGTGAGTTTGCTTGCTAGTAAATTTAATGAGTTTGCTTGCAAGCAAATTTTATGTGACAGACTGAGCTAGCCAATGGCAGATAGATAGATCTCTGAATGAATCTGTTATTCTGTGAGCAACTCAATCTGCCTGCTTTGCCTGATTTTGGGTAAAAGTTGCTCTTTTTTATAAAAAATTCAATATTTATATAAATATTTATAATATTTACATACAAGCCATGCCCAGCCAGTCACATGACCAAGCCACATCCACAAATTAGGCCAAGCCCACAGAACTAGTTAGTGGTCCCTGGGATCTAAAATTATGAGTTTGGTGGTCCCTGAGGTCCAAAAGGTTGGCGACCCCTGCCTTGGATCATCTTTTCAGAAATATTTTCTGTCAAGATTCTTTAATGCCTTCACAGTGACAGAACTTCTAATTTCCTGCCTTCAGTAGAAATGCTGAGATACATTCAGAGACCTATGTGCCTTGAAAATAGGCCATATTAAACTGTGTAACAGAGTCAAACATCAGCACAGTAAATGTTTTATGATTTTTGTAATACATCATAAACTGTTTTATAATGTTTGTGTCATAACTTGTTTTATAAAATTTGCCAAATTTCAATTCCATGGGAGTCATGGGCCTGCATTTTTGGACACATTCTGTAACTTAGCCCATTTGAGATATCTTAGTTGGAAAGGTTTTGCCTTTTGGTGTACTGTTTGCCTATTAAATCAGAGTTTAGCATATTGATGAGAGTCCAATACCACAAACAATGTTATGATTATATTACAAACAACTGTTTGAATGGATAAATTACTTTTTTGCCATGTTAATTGGAACTTGCAGTATCCATATTTTCAAGCGGTATATTTCATAAGCTACCTAAGGTATCTTGAACAGCAGATTTAACAAGGCACTATTTGTTCAGTAGATAATACTTGTTTCCTTGGCTAATGAGGAATTACTGGGAAGGAAGATAATATAGAAAAAGAAGAAGAAAAATAAGATTAAATAAGTCTTGGTACAAGAACTAATAGATATTGAACATGTCCAGTTAGAAGCAGTATTTTTAAAGAATACCAAAAATTGGCATGAAGTTATTGAATTAAATATAAATAGAAAGTATCATATGCGGTAAATAATTTTTTAAAAAAGCATTTTGTCTTCTCAGTCTGAATACTTAGGTAGGTAAAAAAATATTACTACAAAATAATTATCAGAATAACTCAATGAAGTAATGAAATTGATAATTGGCTTAGCATTTCATTGTTGATTAGAAGTTTCCAAAATTGGTATTTTCCCAAGAAACTTTACTGAATACTGTATACTTCTTGCTTCTTTGATCTTATCCAGCAATGTGGGACTTGATAGTTAATTTTTGTCTTGAAAACTATAACAGAAACGTCTAACCTGCATTTATAGTGTGATCATTAAGACAGAATCTCTTTGAAACATTTTTCCCTAAGTTTCTCACCTTCCATCTCTTGATTGTTTATATCAACTTTCCATTATTTTCCCAGCTTCCCACAGTGTCTCACTTTGTGTATGTTGCAATAATGTTAACGTTTTATAACTATACTGGCCTACCTTGTCTGGGCTTGGCAGCTAAGCAGGATGTGGCCTGGTTGCTACTTAGATGAGAAATCCATCAGGAAATGCCAGAGCTGTAGACTAGGCAAGGAAGTTGGGGAAAAAATTGCAGAACAAGGCAGTGACAAACCACTTCTGTATTATTGCCAGGAAAACAACGTGGACATGTCTATGCAATCATCAGGAGCCAAATCTGACTCAAGTAACTTTACCTTTTATGACTCAAAAAGATGCATAGTTACACAACTTGGAAGAAACCAATAGCAAACCCATTTTGTCTTTTTGCTCAGAAAACATATGGAATATCTATGAAGTTACCAAGACTTGAGCTGAACTCAAAGGAAACTTGATTTAACATCAGCAGGTAATTTAGCTCTTATTACTGTACTCTCCTGTTTCTGAACTTAAAAGGTTGGGAATTTAATTTGATAGGAGTCAATAAACAATATATGAACAATCTTCTCCTATTTAAAACTGGAAGTATTTTCACTATGAAATTAGTGACTTTAGTTTTAAAACAGTTCCAGTCAGACCCCTTATCATGGTGAAAATTATTTAACCTTCAAATTTATCATGTGTTCCATTATTTTAACCACCGATGCTCACTTATAAAGTCCTGTCAGATATCCTCTTTGAAAGGCAAATATTTAAGCATTTCTATTACTTTTTCCCCATTTCAGAAAGGACATGAAAGTTACATTATAAAAGATGTGGAGTTTAAGGTTTTACAAAGTGCAGATGGATAATTAATTACTTAATGTAAGAAATAGCAAGGCAATTATTCTAATTATAATGTAAGCTTTTCTTCATTTAAATATCTTGTTAAATATTAGATTCTTAGTTAGTGTTTGGGTTTTGCTAAATGCAACATTCTAACTTTTACAAATGCACATCTCTAGATATGAGTTTTAAGCCATTTTCTTTAAAATAACTATAATTTTTCAAGAAAGTGCTATTTTATATTTATAAAATCTGATGATTATATTTCACAACTATGAAATGCTACATATCTATAATGGTAGAAATCTCACTCCATTCTACAATCTTAACAAAGCTTGGTAGTAAAGATATATTATTAACAACTCCATTGTTTTGTTTTTAGTGCTGAGAATTATTTGGACAAAGTGGAAATAAAGGTCATTATAATGGATGATAGGGAATCTCCTACAAATGATCTTCATTTAAATTTACAAGATGTACTTTCTACTGACATACATGAAGAAAGGATCAAAACTTGCTTGGCTTCTTCTCCAGATGAAAATGAAAATCAGTGTAACAGTAGGAAGCATAATACACTGAAAAACTCTCAGAATGCAATGGGAAGAGTTGAACAGGACAGCATTAATAATAATGAGGACAGTGGAGACTATACACCCTGCTTCCAAGAAGATGAAAGTGATAGGCCATGTAAAAGTTTGAAATCAGATATGCCACAGAAGCTTGGTTCTGAAAAAAAGAATCCAAGAAAAACAAAAAGTCCTAGCAGGAAAGGCAAGTAGTTTCTTAAATACACCTGTATTGATGGTATAACTCTGCTCAATTTCCTTGAACTATTTTATATTTGTACATTCTGCTACACTTGGCAAAAATGCTTCACATTTTCTTTTAGAAATTTCTGTCTAAGCTTATAGAGGATTGATTGACTAAAGCAACAGTAACTTCAAAAACCAGATTTGCAGCTCCTCCTGCCTCCCAAGCTCATTCCCACATATCATTACAAGCTACCACCCAAATTCAATACTCATTATGCATCCTCCTCTTTTTCCAGTCAGATCCTACTCTCACTCAGGCCAGTAGATGTCTAAAACCTGATTACTATCAGGGCAAAGGTATGCAGAACCTTCCATTTGTCATGTGGAAGAGCAACTCCTTCATCATCACTCCACATACCCAATTTATCTTTATCAATAGAACCACCGTGTCTATGATCCTGATCTCAATCACTAGCCCTAAACTCAGTTGAATAAAAGGGCAGGTCCTCTTGTGGATAAACAGTGGTTAAAGAATAGAAGAGAAAGAATAAAATTTCTCACAAAGGAGATATGTAGCTAGTTGGGTCTACCAGGGTTCTTCTACCTTAGGGTTGATGCTTTTTAATGTATTTATAAATTATCTGGAGGTGGACATGATTAATGAAATAGTCAGGTTTGCTGCTGCCATTAAATTATTCAGAATGATAAAACAATAAGGGTATGTGAAGATCTCCAAATGAATTTGTGCAAATTAGGGGAGCAGGCATCAAAATAGCAAATGTCATTCAGCAAGAACAAGTGTAAAGTGATGCTCATTTGTGTTAAAAATCCTAACTATTCCCACAAACTAATGAAACCAGAGCTAACAGTGGTAGATGAGGAAAGAGATTTGTGTATCCACTATAAAAAAAACGATCAGTGTGTTAGGGATAATAAGAAACAATATTGAAAATAGAGGTGCTTGTATCACAATACTAGGTCTGCTTGATCCCTATCTAGTGCTTAGCTAACTACACATGCAGGGGCCAGACCCCAGTGTCTCCGCAGATAGGCCAAACCAGGTGAAAGTAGCTAACAGGTCTTCAACTACTGGTGAGATAGAGGATTTGTCTATGTGAAAGTCTGGCCCTGGCAGATTGATTGGAGGAGACTGATCCACAGTTAAGGAGGTAAGTCCAGCAGACATTGTGGAGCACAAAGGCTTAGAAAGAATTCATTTTCCATTGTGACTTTTTGTGTCATATCTACGTTGTTCTTGGGAAACTGCCCATCTAGAATAACTTCAGGGGTTGAAAGAAGACAAAAGTTTCTGTCAGCAGTTCTATGTTTGTATCAAATTTGAAATTATCTGGGGTATTATATATTTTTCTGACATTACATTTTTTAAAAGAAAAAACAATTATTCCTCTTAACATTTCTGCAGCGAAACAAGAGAAAGCTGACTTTACAGCAGTATCTTATGTGCAAGGGGCAGATGGAAACAAGATAAATTCAAACCATCCTCTGAAAGAACCAGCTCAAACTTTACAATTCCTCTTCTCTCTTCTTCAAGGAGAATTAAAGCAAATGGATTCAAATGTGCTTCCCCTGTTCCTGCACCAGGTAGTAAGAAAATGTTGCTTACCTGATTTTTCATATTGTTGATGTTGATAGTGTTTATCATATTGAATGTGATTTTAAATATTGTCTTATTAGAATCTGAATATATTGCTCAGGACAGTTTATTCTATACCAGTGATGCCTAGCCTTTTCCGTACAGAGTGCCCAGTGCCCACGTGTTACCCAAACCCCAAAATGAAATGCGCGCCCCTACGCATGTGCCCCACTCCTGCGCATGTGTGTGCAGCCCTCACGCACACACACTGTCCCTTGCGCATGCTCTGCAGAGACCCAACGACCAGCTGGCCAGCAGGAGGTGCACGCACATGCACAATGGATTTGAACAACGGTTCACATGCCCACAGAGAGGGCACTGCGTGCCACCTGTGGCACACGTGCCATAGTTTCACTATCATGGTTCTATACTGAAGTTTTCAGTTTTATTCCCCATTACGTCTGTTAACAGACTCAAGTGGCAGATACCAGCTCTTATTGAATGCTAAAGAATTACTACACTTCCTAAGAAATCAGGCATAGGCAACCTGCTACTCCTGTGCACTTTCATTTGTGCTCTCCAGGCTCCCTGCCCTATTTGCTATTTTAAAAAAAGTTTTGTAATTAAATTAATAATAGCAGCTGGCATGTTGCAAAGTACCAAACTCTTGTATAATATTTATAATTAAGCTGAACAAAGATCCCACAGAGATAACAAAACATTCTCAGGGTTTAGTTCAAAATGTGATAAAATCGATATTTAACTATTTCAATTTGGTGGCTTTTGTGTGAGTGAACTTTTTATACAATCTCACTGGTCCAAATATGTCTGTAGTTCAAAGTAATACCTGTATAATAAAAAAAAGCAAAGTCTGCTGCATTAAAGGAAACAGCACATGGTTAGGTAGATGGGTGATACATAAGGCAGAGCTCTTCTGAATGCCCTTATTGACTATATCGTCTGCATTTTTTTTAGTGTGCCAGTTATCTTAATAGTTTTGTTTGGTTTTTCAAGCCTGTATAATTTTTTTTAATACATCATGAATTTTATATCTCCTTAGGCAGATATAAAATATAATAAAATATATTTTAAAAGTTTTTCCCTTTCTTTCTTTGCAGATTGCTGAAACTTATTTTCATGATGGAGAATGTATCCTTTTAAAAAAAACACAACATTGAATGTGGACTGATATCAAAATATAAACATAAAGCTATGGACTTTCAAGTTCAATACATTCTTCTTACACTTGTTCTTATTTTGATTTATTAATGTTGGGGGAGATATATACATACTAATTTTGTGAAATATATGTAGACATGGTATTCAAGAAGGCACAGTATAAAAATTCATTGTATGTTTAGAAAGTGTTTCATGTTTAATGATTTGATCCTCCTTTCATTGTGGTAGCAAGATTTTTTTGCTGCACTTCTTATCACCCTGTTTCTACTACTTCTGCAGAGTACAATACTTCCTGTTACATTTAAATTCACAGGCCAAATAATTTATCATTCTATACCCTTTTCTATATCTCAACAAATATATGTGTTTGATATGTATTCAAAGCCTTAATCTTGGAGATTTTTGTCAGGAAGGTTGCTGCATTGCACATACTCAAAAGTTTGTACCTCACCATCTCCTCACTTTATGACTCATAGCTATGTTTTAAGAGTCTTCTCTGCACTTCTTGGAAGAATAAAACTAAGGTCTTTATTCATTCCTGTTGACTCTTTCAGTTGAAAGTGGAACCAATGGCAATTCTTCACACCTAAAGGCTGTGACCTTAAATGCCTTAATCAATGGTTATGCTCATTTACAAAATGCGTCTTCTGCCTTCGGGTACCTGATAGAAGAGCATTATGAATTGCAAGATACATTTACAGGAGCTAAATGATCTTGTGACTGTTCCAGATCCTTACTATATATAAAACAACAAAGTCAGGAACCACCATAGCATTCTTATTCTACAGAATTTGCCATAATAATAAGAGCCATGATGGCACAGTGGTTAGAATGGAGTACTGCAGGCTTCTTCTGCTGACTGCCGGCTGCCAGCAGTTTGGTAGTTCAAATTTCATGTGACTCATGGTTGACTCAGCCTTCCATCCTTACAAGGTCCGTAAAATGAGCACTCAGATTGTTGGGGGCAATATGCTGACTCTGTAAAACCGCTTAGAGAGGGCTGTAAAGCACTGTGAAGCAGTGTATAAATCTTAAGTGCTATTGCCATTGCTATAATCAGTGTTATGACTAAGAAACCTTGTCTTCCTTTACTGTGCTTTCCCATGTGCCTAAACACCCAGAACTATCACGATCTAATGTTTCAAGCCACATGCATATCCAAAGAAGAAGTAAATGTCAGTATTGCTGATCTAGGACTTGCAAAGTCTTATCAGCCATATCAGCTTCAAAGCCTAATCAGCAACACTGGATAACTTGTCTGCACCCATATCACATTTTCCTCCTATCATAAAAGTGCTAGTCTGAAACCATATTTAAAAGTGGCAGTCCGTGTCTGTATTTTCCTTTATTTTCCATTTAGATGAGAAAGCAATGGAGTTCATTCGGCTTGAACAATTGTATCACAAACAATTACTTGCAAATCTCTCTTCTCTTCAGCAGCAGTGGGGTAAGTGTGTCATATAGTGCAGGGGTCTCCAACCTTAGCAACTTTTAGGACTTGTGGACTTCAGGTCCATAAGTCTTAAAGTTGCTAAGGTTGGACACCCCTGATATAGTGGAAAGTTGTATGTCAAGTAAAACTTGAGAAATGTCTTCATTTTCTATTATAGCACATTGATTACAGGGAGGTTATGAGGCCACCAGGATAACTGCCTATATTGTGTTCTATGACTAGGACTTCATCTAAATCTTATTAATTAATGAGAAATTCTAATTAGACAAACAATACTCAATACTCAATGCTCATGAGTTTTTGAGCACATTGAATGAACATTTACTGGGATGTGAAGAATCCCATACAATTTTCATAAAAGGCAGCATCATTTTTTTATTGTTCTGTTTTAATGATTAAAGACCTACTGTAATATTAGGTTTTTTTTAGAATTTATATTTCTGAAATATTAAATAGTTCATTTTTAACATAATGTCTTTTGTTAATAGAAACAAAATGGAAAGCAACAGAGTGCAGTGAGGTTCCAAATCTAAAGAATTCTTCTAAAGATCTGAATAACGAAGAGCTAGACAAACTTGCTGAATTTTGCACATCTCATCAAGAGTAAGTGATGAACATTATTTGTATGTAATAAAACTATACGGTACTAGTCAACATTTTTTCACAGTTCTACATGTGATAATCCCTCTACATCAAAAAGTTGTTCAGTGAATTCTTAATTTGGATATTTTTCACCCATGTAGCAGCAGCACTTCCCTGTAATAATACACTGTATATTGGTATTAAAATTATACAGTGTATACAAAATAGCTTGCCTTTTAGTGGCACTGACCAAAGGTATCCAAAGCAATAATAAATTAGTTTTCAGATTAAATATCTTTTTTTATTTTGCTTATCATATATTTGCAGACCATTGTTCTATTAAAAAAATAAAGATAAGGATAATCTCTAGTCAAGTCACTTCCTGGTTGTTACATCATTAGAACCATGTGGTTTTCTTGAGAATCGAAGAGAAGTAGCTTGCTACTGCCTTTCTGACTCTGACTTAGATTTTCTTTAACCTTGTGGCATACTCTACAGAACTGATTATAAGATGGCAAAACATAAGATACGACTGTTCAGAGCGGTAGAACCTTTCTGAAACATGGTGAGAATGATCTATGCATTTTAGAGAACAGAGTAAGCGGCTTTCTTGTGAGGTTTTAGAAGGCCTCAGAAGTCTTTCAAAGGGACAGGGCATAAATGCCATTCATTCAGGACTGCTGTAATTTCTAATGAAACCAAATGGTTATAACTAAAGGACTTTCTGTATATTGATAGTAGTTTTCAAGTCTAGAAATGCTGGCGTCCTTATAAAAGATATTGAACATTTGATTACAACTTTGTTAAAATATAAGCAGAAGCTCTTGGATTATAAAATCATCAATTGGAAGTGATTTTGGAGATCATCTACTGCAATGGTCGCCAACTGGTGGGCCGTGGCCCACTGGTGGCCCGTGAGAAAATTTTGATGGTCCACAGAGAAATGTCCCCTCAAAGCAATTAATCCAGGCTGAGTGGGAACACAAGGCTGTGCCGCCCACATGGCCCACCCACCGGCCCCCACCCTTTGGCCAAGCGCAAACCTGCAAAAAGCAGTGCAGCCCTTGCTGGCTAGGACAAGGTAATGGTGCTGTTGCAGCAAGAGGGGCCGGCGGCACAGGCGGGCTGAAGCAGTGATGGAGATGGTCAGAAGGTACAGGAGAGCCACGGTACTTGCATTTGCATGGCACTCCCGCACCTTCCAGCTTGCCTCTCCTGGCCTGGGCTCTTTCTCAATGACGGCGGGCTGTAGGGACGGCCCGGGCAGGAAAAGTACCAGCTGGTGGTGCTGGGAGGGGTGGAGTGGGCAAGTCTGCGCTCACCATCCAATTCAGAGGTTCAGAATGCGGCGTCAGCATCGGCGTCAGTTTTCTCGTCTTCCTCGGTGGTCTGTTCTGCCCCCCACCATGGCCCCAGCCATCACTGCTCAGAAAAGGCACAGGAAAAGCAAGCAGAAACACAGCTCTTGCTGGGGCAGAAGAGCTGAGATCGAGGAAGGCACAGGCAACAGAAGACGCAAGCTGCCTCCTTTGAAAAGCGCCACTTTCTGTTGCTTGAGCCTTCCCCAATCTCTGCTCTTTCTCCCCAGCAAGAGCTATGCTTCTGCTCGCTTTCTTTTCCTGTGCCTTCTCCAAGCAGCAATGGCTGGGGCTGTGGGGGGAGCAGCAGAGATGTCAGGGCTGCTCTCACCCCTCAGCAAGCCAGGCCTGGAAGAACACAAAGAATTGTGGGCGAGCACCAGAGAAATGTGTGTTGGAAATGCCAACACACGTTTCCAGCACGCTCTCCACTGTCCCGAAGTAGGATTGAGTGGGAGGAAGGGAGCAGGGGGAAGGATAGGAGGGAAGGAGAAGCCTGGCTGGGTTTCCTTTGGCATGGGGTGGGGGGGTGCCCAGACCAAAAGAGCGCTGAGGAAGATGGGCTCCTAATAACCAGCATGTTTGTGCAGGCAAGAGTTTTGAGCTTTTCTGGGATCAACACCCACACTTCAGCCTCCACACAGGGAGGGACCCTTCTCTGCTTGGAAGCAGCGGGGAAAACCTGGAGTTTAGCCTCAGGGAGTCCTCTTGTGTGGAGGCCAAAGAGGAGGGATGTTGCCTGGTTATTAGGAGCCCATCTTCCTCGGCACTTCCAGCCCAGTCCTCCTTCCCTCCCCCAACTCCAGGTAGCCACACCTGGCAAAGGAGGGAGAGGTTTCCTCTGACTCGGGGGAGATACAAAATGATAGGAGACCAGATTGGGGAGGGGGCTCTGCTTTTCTTCCATTTGTGGGGGAGCCAGTTCTTCCCCGTCCAGATCTTCCCAGCCTCCAGGCACCATGTGGCTTCTTTTGAATCCCAGCAGTATTAAATCCTCCCTCTTTCTCCTCAAAGGATGAGAGAGGCCCCTCCTTTCTTCGCTCTGCCCCACAGTTATGATTAAGCATTTACAATTTTGTTATAATTAAATAAGCGCATATATATATAAATTAATTAAATTTATATTTAATATAAAAATAAAATTTTTATATTAAATATTATCTTTTTTAAAAAAAATCGTATTAGTGGTCCTCGGGATTTAAAAGTATGAGTTTGGTGGTCCCTGTGGTCCAAAAAGTTGGCGACCCCTGATCTACTGTACTTCAAATTTTTTTCTTAAGATTACATTTAAATTTTTTGCAGCTAGATCAAACTTTACACTGCCAGAATGAAGCCACCTTCTTGCTTTGTCATTTGCCAAAAATAAGTCATTGTTGATAGATATTTTTGGTAGTAGCTGATATGCTAGCACAGGGATGTCAAACTCAAGGCCCAGAGGCTGGATCCAGTGCATGGGGTGCTTAAATCAGGCCTGGAAACAACAAAGGACCAGCCCACAGTGCCTCTGCCAATGAAAACAGCTTTGGAAGGTGGACCAGGGGCCCCTGCAACCCACTTTTGGCTGTGACGGCCTCCTGCAATCCTCTGCCAGTGGGAGGGGTGTGGCCCCCTGAGGTCCATTTTCATTGGCAGAGAACTATCAAAGCAAACTAAAAACAAAACAAAAGGAGAAATGTTTCCCCTTTTACATTTGAGCATGCAGAAAGGGACAGGAAAGGAGAAAGGGAAATGGAAAGAAAAAGAAAAAGAATGGAAGATGGGAAGAGAACAAGGAAGGAAAAATAAAGAAAGAGAAGGAAGAAGAAAGGAGAATGTAGAGGGAATGAAATAGAAGGGAAGGAAGGGAGGGAGGGAGGGAGGAAGATTATAACGAAAGTGAGGGAGTGTCTCAGGAAAGTCCTGCATTAGAACTTGGCCACCATAGGTGCCCCCAAGCTGAGCCCTGTGTCACACCCATGCCTGGCCACGGCTACACTCCCTGCCCTCCAAGGTCAAATACAACCCTGATGTGGCCCACAATGAAATTGACTTTGATATCCCTGTGCTAGCAGATGGGCTGAGCTCTGTGTCTTTCCACATTCACACAGAATGTTGTTACCAGTAAGAGTCTCGACTTGAGTATACTGGTTTTACATTTAGGTATTCCAACCCTCAATCTCTTTTGCAAGAAAAGAAGGAATTGGGTATATTGATCTTAATTTTTTAGAAGAAGGCAAGTTTAGAAATAAATAAACAAGGAATCATGTGATTTAAATGGTGATAAGATCCAGCAACATGATTCTATTTAACATTCTTCTGATTTTCATTTTTCGGCAATTTTAAGACTTTTGGACTTCAACTCCCACAGTTCCTCCGCCAACGAAGTTGAAATCCACAAGTCTTAAAGTTGCCAAGGTTGGAGACCCCTGCACTAGATAACTCAAGCCAGACAGTATATTTGAAATTCGTTGCTATACTTGTGCCAATGTAGGAGCAGTATTTTATAAACATTCTTGAATAGTGATGACATTGTTGGATTATAGAGCCCTACATTCAGTTATCATATCAGCATGTAACTTACTGTGTAATCCTTCTCTGTATCTCTCTGCTGATCCTGTTTCACTGACTTGCTTGAAAGAACTATAGTGAAAAGGAAACATACAAAGATATTAGAGTAAATGTGTAGGGTGGTGGCTAGAAGAAACTGTATTTTTTTGCACACAAGTCTGATAATGCAGCACTGGATTGCATTTTATATCACCTTGCCCACATTTCCATGAAGTCAACAAGTGTATGATATTTTGTCATTTATTGGCCATATATTTTTAATTTGTTCATAAAAACATGAATGGTATATAAAATACAAGAAAGAACTATAGTAAATGTTGCTGGAAAATTCTCTCCTGATCAAGATGCCAAAGAGTCTTGCTGTTTGTCAATGCACTGTACATATAGTCCTTGTTTAACACCTGCAATTGGGATAGGGTCCTCAGTTACTGAGTGAAACTGACATTAAGTGTGATATCATGTAATCACTTCACTCAACAACTGCAATTCATAGCACTCCCAGTTGCAGTTGTTAAGCTATCTTGCAAGTTGTTAAGCAAATGGCATCCTTGCTAAGCAGTGTGTACAGCCTCAGGAGGCTGTGGGAGGCCCATCACAGGCAGCGCATGATGGTCTCTTTGCTCAGGAGCTGAGAATCCTCCCTGTCAAAATCCAATTAAGATTTTCAACTCTTTAAACAGAGAGACCCTCACATGTGGCTTGTACCAGGCCTCCCCCATCCCCCCTGAGGCACCTTGTGCTCCTGAGCTGCCTCTCTGCTCTGGAATTAAATCTTCCCTGCCAAAATCCAAGCAGGATTTTCAGCCATTGAACAGGGAGACACTTGTGTGTGGCAGACCACCCAAGTGTGATGTCCCCCTTGGACAGTTCCTCAGATTTTTCCTTGGAGGTCTGCTTGAAAGAGGATGAGCTCATTTCTGGCACATTGGGAACTAGGTTAATTAATGACTCTGAATAGCCAGCTGAAAGAGATTTATTGGAGGCTTTGGCTAGGGACAGCTTGCAGGGGTGGATGGTCAGTGAAGAGGAGGAGGAGCTGCCTCCATGGTAGATCCGAAAGCACGCAGGGCAGAGAAAAGACAAGAGCAATTGAGATCTGCCAGATTACTCAGGAGAAGGCCCTGCCCATCTTGATTAGCTATTCCAGAAAACTATCACAGCAGGCAAAGGGAGGGGTTGCTGGAAATAATGTGTTGGATTTCTAACTGTGTTTGATCCTCTTTCTTCCTGTTTGACTTTGTGCCTTGGAGACTCTGAACTTCTCTTGCCAAGTGAGTTTTTATGGGTGCGTTTCAGTTTCACCTAGTGGATTTAAGTGTTTGGTGTTTGCATTGTTTTATGGACTCCTAGCAATTGCCTTGTGGTCTAATCTTGGCCTGCTTAAGGCTGGATATATTTGGGACAGTTCTGAGGCTAGGTGAAGGGAATTGCTGGAGAACATTAATAAACTCTCTAAATCACATTCTGTGTGTGTGTATGAGGGAGTGGGGCAGCACACCAGCCCCCCCCCCCCCCCCCCAAGAGATTTCTCAGTCCTTTACTGCCTCTCTACTCTGGGGCTACAAATCCTGCTTGGATTTCGAAATGGACCTTTTACAGTCAGCCCCCATAGACAAGAGAGTTCCCGCTCGTTTCTTGAAGCTGGTTGCAAATAACCTATTCTGCAAATATTCTGTGCCAAAATTCTGCTTGAATTTGGGACTCTTTTCAGCCACTTCCCAGAAATAAGAGAGTGTCCTCTAGGCAGACAGCAGTGGTTTGGCCATTGATTTTCTGGGAAAGGGAAGATTTCAAATGACAATCACATGACTGCAGGGAGCTTGGCAACCACTTGTAAGTGTAAATGGGTTGCCAAATGCCCAAATCACGTGGTCACAGGGGCACTGCAACAGCCATAATTTGAGTCATAAGTCTCTTCGTTCAGCATTTTTTATCATTTCGAATGGCTACTGAATGAACTGTCAGTAAGCCAGTAGTATATTCTCTCTGTGCAGTTTCCCCAACAGTAAATTAGAATTCAGAGTCTTTGGCTAATTTTTCTTGGTTGATTTCAGTTTAGGGCAATTTTTGCACAGCTGGAATTTTTAAATACAGGCTGTAAGGGCACTTACAAGATCTTACATTCATTTCACTATTTTTATTACCTTCTGGGCCATCAAGTAACAATTTGTACAATAATGTCATTAATACTGGTATGCTCTGGCTCTGTGCTTTAAAACTGGTGGTATAGATAGTATTTCAGTCTTGTAAAGCCCTATGCTATTATTAGAACATGGAAAAAAACGATCTGATTTGTTCTCTAGTTTTGATGACGTTTGTTATGAAGAATATTTTGGTGAGACCTGCTGTTTATTTTTAATTTTCTTATGTTTTTGGGTTACAGGCCACTTGTCTCCAGAAGCAAGGTAAGCTATGTTTTTTTTTTCTTGACATAGTTTGCTATTAAATGATTGAGTATTCTTTAAAAGAAATTACTTCCCATAACATGTGCAACATAAACATAAAAACAAAGATATTTATAATGTAAACGTTACTTTGCTTTGCAGCTCATAAATAAAGAAATATCCTTTAGATGTGAACGGTTCATAAGTTTAATGGCATCTGAAGATTTAAAAGAACAAAGTACTTCTACATGGGATTCAGGTATCTGTCCTATAAATTACTCTAGCTTAAATTAAACAAAAATGTCATTATTGAAAAATTTGGAAGAATAATCAACCTTTTTAAATCAGAGCAAGAAAATGTAATTATATCTTGATGTCTTTTTTGTGGAAAAAAAGACTATATGGTCAATGGCTTTAAAGAATACTCTTTATTTTCCAGCATTAAATATTACAGGATAAAGATATACAGTTATTAATGGAACTGGGCAGGAAATTGAAAAAGATGAAAGTTATTATTGAGAGATAGCATGCAAAAGTGTCTTCTGAATGCATTTTTGTAATGTTTTGTAATGTTTTAGTTCCTTATGGAGTTCATGTGTCTTTTCATGGTAACAATCTCCTACAAATGTCATTAGTAATTAAGTTGTATAAATGTGTAGGAGGCAGTTTTGATAGACGTAATCAGAGATGGGTTACACATTGCCTCTGAACTAATTTTATGCTGCTATAACCACAATTGCAACAACAACAACAACAACAACAAAATAAAACAGTGGCACATTTCCAACTATATTGAGGTGGGAAGCACATGAAAATTCCTGAAATAGATTTAACATAATTTAAAAAAATAATAAATGCTCCCACCAAAGCAGGAAAACAAAATAGAAAACCCAGGGCACAAGCATGACATAGGTTCGCGTACATTATCAGTCCAGCCATTATAGCTCTTGTTTCTCTTCAAATGTACAATATAATTCCTGGCATTAAAAAAATGTCCTATCCAAGAATAGATAGTGCATCCTTTGCAATAATAACTTTGTCAATGGAAATCGGTAAATGGAGCTGAATAGAGAATGCAATTAGACTTTTTAGATTAATGCATGACTCTAGCATAGTCATGACATTCACAAAATTGGTGAGTATGTAAAAATAATAATAATCATCATCATCATCATCAACTTGAGTTTTAAAATGAGTATGTAAGCTGATGGAAATTTTAAATTTGAATTCTAAACACATCCTTCTGTACACAGCGCCCTATTTGTCCTATAATACATAATATATAAATACTTGAATATATTATGGAGAAATTGTATCTCGTACAATAGCATTGTATAGCTTTTTACATATTTCCCTAAAAATTCAGGAGGGAAATGTTATTAGGTTTCTCATGTTTATTATTCTTAATGCCTTTAAAACATGGTCTTGAAATGTGTATAAACATTAACATTTTTTACTGAAAGGCAAAGAACATTCAGCCTATTTTTGGAGAAGAAATTCAGATAAGAGACTTCAAATTAAAATTAAAATCTCATATTCAAATTTATCACATATCATCCATAGCATACGTATACACCTCAGTTAGGATGCTACAAAAATAGTTCCTTTTTGTGTTTTTCTGTCAATAACTTCAAGAAAAGATCTCTTAGAACAGGGATGGGGAACCTCTGCTCTTTGAATTAAGTTATCTATGTCATCTTGAAAATCCTTCCCATCATTTGCTGTTCCTCTCCTTTCTTTGATATCCTTCTAATTTAGTCATTTAAGGACATAAAGAAGTCAAACCTCAATTTTCCTCTGTTACAGAAGTTGTCATTGAGTTCTTGTTGATTTTTCTGCCATGACTCTTAATTCATGCTGGAAAATTATTCTGCAAACATTAAGGAACTTATAGCATATGTTTAATTCTCTATTTTTAAATGCAAGTTAAGAAAATACACTTATAACTGTGGTAAACTTATTTTTACATTATATAGCACAAGCTCATATCCATGTGTATTTCTAGACACAAACATTCCCTGATTTAGTTCATATATGGGCAAGGATTTGTAGTTAATCAGAAGTTGATACACTGGATTGATTTGCCTAGTTTAATATTATCTTGCTATTAAAATAATCATACAAGATTATATCACTAAATACAGTATTCTCTCCTTCAACTAGTTAAATCTCCTGTGATAACTGGTATATACCGTATTTTTCAGAGTATAACATGCTCCAAAGTATAAGACCTAACCAGCATTTGGGGAGGAAAACAAGAAAAAAAAATCTTCCTCTGCCTCTACCTCGCAGCAATTTGCCTCCTTGCAGCAAACAGCAAACAGCCTGGTCAGCTTCAGCACAGCCTGATTAGCAGAAGCAGCTGATTGTCGGTTGAATTGGCCTCCCAACGATCAGCTGTTTTAGACTGCAGGGATTGCCACTGCCTATTGCTGCCTCCACGCACCCCATTTTCAGCCTCTGCATGCCATTTTTGGCCTCCGTGCATCCTGTTTTCGGCCAATTTTGGGTAGCGAGCATTGGAATGGGCAGAAAATGGGGCACACAGAGGCTGAAAACAGGGTGCACAGATGCCAAAAATGGGACGCGGAGGCCGAAAACGGAGTGTGGGAGGCCAAAAATGGGATGCGGAGGCAATATTCTCTCTATAAGATGCACAGACAATTCCGACTTCCGGGTTGTAAGGCTTCGTCGACGGCAGGAATCCGCTTCTCTGCGGGTCCCTGCTGTGCTCGCCGTCAAGGTACCCCCGATCCAACTGGATTTGGGGGTTGTCGCTACCCTGAAGGGGCAGCGGAAGACAGAGGAGATCCGAGCAGGGGTCTGGGGACATCGCACCCCCCCTCCCCAGCCGGCTAGACTCCTTTTTCCCGAGACGGATGAGCGGCTGTCTCGGCAGCCATGAAGGATTCTTCAACCGGACAAGTTTGTGCAGGAGGAAGACTTAGAAGGAGAAGTTTTCTTGGCTAAACCAGGACATGATGTTACTTTTAAAACACCCTGGAAACCTGACTTTGGATTGATACATTTGTTTCCAAAAGAATTTGTAACATCGGCGAAAGTGCTGAAGGAAAGCTCACTCCCCCTCCCTACGGAGAAAGCAAAGGAGCACAGAAAAACCTGCTCTCTAAAGGTAAAAATAAGCTCTTTGTTATAAGTGGGAAGGGGAGGACTAAAAAAAAACAAAAAACTTTTTTTTCTAAACTTTGCTGGAGGAGACGCCTTGAAGATTTCAAGACCATTAATTAATGGAAATACGGCTTTTAAAATATATCTGGGATTTTGCCTCTGGAGAAAAAACTGTAAAGAGAAGAAGAGGAAAAAAGTTTTGCTTGTTTGGATTGTTTGATAACTCTGACATTTGGAAATTACTTCAAGATTGAAAGCATCTGGGTTGTTGTTGTTGTTGTTTTTTAAAAAAGAACTTATAATGGTACCACCGGTTGATGAACTGAAAATGGAATATGAAAAATTAAAAGAAAGACAACAAAGTGGCAAGGATTCTTTGGGAGCTGCCTTCCACTTTTTAGAAATGGCGGTTTCTACGTACCAGCAAACACTGGAGGAAGGAGAAGGAGAAGAAGAAGAAGAAAAGGAAGAAGCCATCTTTAATGGACTAAAAAGTTTGATTAAGAAAGAAAATGGGAAGGAAGGAAGGGAAAAGGAGAATTTAAGATTTAATAAAACAACCAAGAAAAAGAAAAATAGGATGAAAAGAAGGTACAATGTTAGAAAGCAACTGAAAATAGAATTACAACAGAGAGGGAAACTTAAAAAGGGGGAGAGGAGAGGAGGGGGCAAAAAGACCAGATTGGAGAAGAAAGGGAGGGAAAAAGAAAAAAAAAGCCACGGGTTAGGACAAGATTTTTTTAAAAAAAGTTTTTTCTTTAGAGATGAAGGATGATAGATAGCTTATAATTAAAGAAGATTCTGCAAGAGTGCATAAGATAGTATTGTAGTATTTGTATTTGGAACAGTTTATTGGAATATTTAATGAAATATTAATGTTTAATAATGAGAACTAGAATTAGAATAGAAATTATATATTTAATTATACTATAAGTTTGTTATTCTTTCATTTTAAGATTTAATATGTAGAAGGTACTAAGCAGAATCAGAATGGAAATTATGTATTATTTTAAGTTTTATTTTAGGAGAAGGCGTCATACTTCAAAAGCGATTACAGGGGAAATTTTTTGGTTAAAGGGAAGAGATACATAGATGTTTACTAAAGAACGGACAAAAGACATAAGTATAATGACTTTGAAATAAGATGAAATAAATAAAATATAATTAAGAGAGTGAAAAGATGGGAGAAGTTATATAGAAAATACAAAATGGTTAATAAGATATGAAGGGTATATAAGATGGGCATGAATTTGATTTAGGTCTGTCAAAAAAGATGTAACCTGGGGCCAAGTCACTTTTCAAAGAAGTTTTATGTTTTATGTTTAGTGTGTGGATTATGTTTGATTCTAAATTAATAAAATCTTGGAGAAATGAAATTAAAGGGAGAGAAATTGGGAAAAGATATGTATAAATGATAACTAAGGAGGTTTTTTTTTTTTCTCCAATGTTTTGCTTCAAGTGTGATAATGTGGAACCATGTTTTAAAGAATAATGCTTTGTTTGTCTTGTTGAAGTTTATGGGTAGTTCTTGGAAAGGAGGTTATATATGTTTTGTTTGTCTTGAAAAATCAATAAAACTTGTTTAAAAAAAAAAAAAAAGATGCACAGACAATTCCACCCACTTTTGGGGGTAGAAAAAGTGTGTCTCATACTCCAAAAAATACAGTACTTTTTGACTTCTCTTGCTCTGCCTCTGTTTTTACTTCACAGGCATCCTAATGAGTTTTCTACAGATTTCATTTATAAACATTGGTTCAAACATTGGATTCAAACTGTATGTACCAACATTGCACTTCAGGCACAATTTGCATAAACATTAAGATAACACTCCATTTAAAGTTACACTCGGTAATTTTTAATGGGATCTGGCTGTTTTAAATCTTGGTATTAAAATTAATGGATCAGACCATTGCTACCAAGAATAATCTGTTCAAGCATTACTGACAGTGCTATCAGATGTTTTGTTGTTGGTTGTTGTTTTTTCCCCTCAGTGTTTTTGTGCTGAATCACCTCTTAAATGCTTCGACTCTTTTTCCGTTTCATTTAGATACTCAGAGCCAGCCAAGTATTGAAGCAAAGAAACAGAACCATCACAGAGAAGGAGAGAGAGATGAAAGTTTCCAGTCTGAAAGCTGTTGTCTGATTAAGGAAAAAGAAAGACTTCAGCTATCTGCAAGGAAACACCATCTCAAGGAGGAGCTCTGCTGTACCGAATCCACACTGAATCAGCCATTTGTTTTATCCACAGAGACCCTGGACACGCCTTTCTCTCAGTGTTTATCTTTGAGGGATGCTAGTGAACATGACAGCCTGCAGCTAAGGAAAGAACAGTTCTCTCAGGATGGAGCAAAAATAGAAGCAGCAGCTGAAAAGCCTGCAGCGACGTGTTTTAGTGAACCAATGGTAGATGCATTAGTTTGGACAGATGCTGATTATATACCTCCTGATCTTATAGCCACGGATGAAAATATTCCATCCAAAAGAAACTTACTGAGGACAAAAACCTGCTCTAGCTCTGTGGTGATTGCCAGTAGCCAGTTGGAAAGCAACTTAGTAAATCTGCCACAGCAGGAACAGCCTGATTATGAAAATAACAGGAAATCTGTGCAAAACCAAACATCAGGCATTAGTGGGAATGTACAGTTTGACACTGAGATGTCCAAACAGCCTAGAGTTGTATATGAATGGACACAGGAAGAAACAACAGTACTGGAAGAAAAAGGTGAAAGTGAGGAATCAGAAGGCTTCCTTGAACATATTTTAAATGGTACCATAAAAGTTAGAGAGGAGGCTCTTAAATTTCTAGAAGCCCAAGAAAACTCTGAAATTCTTCCACTTGAACAAGCACTTTATTCTTCATCGGAGGATTATTCACCAGATGAAAGCTTTTCTTCACTTGATGAGCTTGCAAAACGAATACAGATTGCTGAGGTAAATACTGAAAAAAAATCTTGTTTTCATGATTCATGATTGCCTTGTATGTATGTATTTATTTTCTTTAGCATGTAAAGCAGTTGAAGAGAAAGTTTATGATACTTACATGACTTTACCAGCATTTAAATATGCACTTTGGAAAAAACAGATTTTCAGTGGATAAAAATGAACTTCTGGATTTACCTGTTAAAATGAGCTGATATGAAGAGTAGGGAACTATGCTGTGTAATTTTGAAGATGGAAATCGTATTAATTATTACTATAACTGCTGTTAAGAAGATCTGAAGTCACTTCTTAAGTATTTTTTCCTTTTTCTCTCATTTTCTTTTGTTTTCAATATTTTTTTTTACCTTTCTTTCTCGTTTTTATTGCCATTCTCTATTGTTCCTGTTAACCTCTAAATTATTTTGTTTTGTTATAACTGCCTGGTGCAGCTACTAGGCTTGATAAATGCCTTATATTGCTTTTCAGAGAATTATATATTAAGACAGAACATGCTATTCTTTCATTGCTGAGTGCTTTTATTGCGGTCACTTCATGTTTTTGGAAATGCTAATTGTATCTTATGAAGTCAGCCATAGAAAATTACAGTTTAGGGTTGATGCATTGATCTGTAAAAATTGGAAAGAAAAACATCAATTTTTCTATCAAAATCGTTTTGAAGGCATTCAGCTGTTTTTCTAACAACAATAACAACAACAGTAATGCTTTGTTTCATTTTACTTATTCATTGGGCTTTTACCTAGGGTCACTGGTTTGTCTGTTTACTTATTGCAATTATTCTTAACGCCACAAATAAATTGCTGTCTTCCTACCAGTAAAATAAATGTATGTAAGCAGAATTTAGAATGAAGAACGTCTCTTTTTTAAAACTTTAACCCTGTTTTTCTTGTAAAGATGAACTTGTAACTATGAGAGTATGTATTTCAAAGCGTTGAAAGTACTTGTGGTATTATTAACAGATGGATGGGTCCTAGCACTATGTGAGAGAGCGTAATGAATGAATATATATAGCAAAATACATAGATGTTCCCAAATCTTGGATGGGGAAAAAGAATACCAGATAATATTTCCAACCACTTGGTATAATGTGCATTGTAATTGCTAAAGTTTGAGTAAAACCAAGGTGGCTTATTCTGAATTTTAAAACTAAGATTCTATTGTTTAAAAAAAATCTAGCAAATATTATGATTTCCTTAAGAAAAATGAAGAAGTCCCTATCAGCCTTCTGAAAAGTTCTTTTAAATGGATTGTATGTAAAACTCCTGATTTCACTCTTCTACTTTTCAATGCTGTTTTTTTACATTCTCAATGCTTTTGAGAAACTTTAACTTGCTAAAACCATGTTGTAACAATTCTAGCCACATTACAATCTATTTACTTGTGTGTTTTTCTCACTTTCCCATCTTGTGTTTACTGTAAGTGTAAGAGTTGATGATACAATGCTCTTATGGGAGATCTTATGTAATTCGTAGCTCTGTGTTGCTGTTGTTTGAGCACTGAATTTATCACAGGGAGACATTGGTCTTTAAAGAGGGCACAGAATGTACCTTGCATCATTCAACAGCAATCTGCAGGCCAAATATGGAATAATATGAGCTGTCTCTAGAGGGAGCTTGCTCCTCTGGCTCTGTCAGCTGGAAAATGAACTTTAAAGAGATGTAAAATATGGAAAAGCAAAGGGGATGGGATGCCGTTTTTGAATGTTCATTAGAGTAGAACTATAGTGGCTTACTGTGCAAAATTAAATGGATGTGAATGTTGGATAATATAAAAATGTATGTTGATTTCCTAAAATTGAGGACTTAGTATTCTGGGACACTTACTGAGCTGTACTACAACAAGCAAGTCCATTGCTTATCAACAGAGCCACTGCTGATCCAAATCTCTTCCTTATCTTCCTCATTGTTGATTGGTTCTTTCTCCAGACATACGGGGGTCCTTGACTTACCCTCATTCAGTTTCCGTTCAAAATTACAACAGCACTGAAAAAAATGACTTATGACCATTTTTCACAGTTGCAACCTTTGAAGGATCCCCATGAGCATGTGATCAAAATTCAGATGCTTAGCAACTGGTTCATACTTATGACTGTTGCTGTGTCCCAAAGTGATATGATCCCCTTTTGCAGCCTTCTGACTAGCAAAGTCAAGGGGGAAGCCAGATTCACTTAACAACCAGGTTACTAACTTATCAGTTGCAGTGATTCACTTAACAATTGTGGCAAGCAAGGTCGTAAAATGGGACAAAATGTAAAATGTCTTACTTAACAAGAGAAATTTTGGGCTCAATTCTGGACATAAGTCAAGGACTACCTGTATCTGTCCTGATGAAAAACTGAAGGAATAATAGTTTCCATTTATTTTGCCCTTTCTTCTAAGCAACCCTGTGGATTCTCCCTAGAGGGAGACAGATCATGGAGAAATGTGTAATCTCTGTTTCAAAAAGGAGAGTTGAATTTTAATATTGCAATTAGGAACGCCAATAAAAAATGTACTGACATGTTGACAGGAATCTAATATTTGATCCACGCCTTGGTGTCTGGTTTGTTTTGCTTAATATACTATTGAGTTGGGCATAAAGCACTGAAATATTTTCTCTTAAAATTATAGTAAAACGTGACACAATATTTCAATCAGCTATCTATAAAAAATTGATTCATGTCCATATTTTGCATAAAAACACATCTTGGCATGAAGAGAAACAGCAGAACGGATGCCCCAATTCATAGCTATGCATTAAAAAATATTTCAGAAAGATAGCCTAAGCCAATGTCTAGTTATGCCCAGATTTTATACATTATTCAAAGTTTTTGTGTGCCATCCTCAACCCTCCTACCAAAATGTCCTTAATGTTATAGTACATATGTTACTATGCCACCAAATGTCAGCAATTACAGCCATTAAATTTCATTTGATTTTGGAGAAATCACTTCCATCTACTATAAATCAGGATTTTCAGTTGCCAGAATTCAGCAGTGTGTTTACAGTTAAACTTGCCCAATATTAGTCTTTTTAAGAGAGATATATTTTCTTGCTTCCTTTGTACTATTATGAATAGAATAGAATAGAAAAGAATAGAATAGAATAGAATTCTTTATTGGCCAAGTGTGATTGGACACACAAGTAATTTGTCTTGGTGCAAATGCTCTCAGTGTACATAAAAGAAAAGATACATTCGTCAAGAGTCAAGAATCATAAGGTACAACACTTAATGATAATCAGAGGGTACAATAAGCAATCGAATCATAGTAGGAAACAGTCACTATAAATCGTAGGGATACAAGCGACAAAAAGTTACAGTCCTACAATCACAAGTGGGAGGGGATGGGTGAAAGGAAGGATGGGAGGATTAATAGTTATAGTAATGCAGACTTAGTAAATAGTTTGACAGTGTTTAGGGAATTATTTGTTTAGCAGAGTGATGGTGTTTGGGGAAGATGTTCTTGTGTCTAGTTGTTCTGGTGTGCAGTGGTCTATAGTTTTGAAGGTAGGAGTTGAAACAGTTTATGTCCAGGATGTGAGGGGTCTGTAAATATTTTCAGCCCTCTTTTTGACTTGTGTAATATACAGGTCCTCAATTGAAGGCAGGTTGGTAGTAATTGTTTTTTCTGCAGTCCTAATTACTCTCTGAGTCAGAGGGACTTACGGTAATGGGAAGATACAAGAGTAAAAACATAACACTGAAGTCAATACTTTTAAAGTCAGAATTAAAATCAGTATAATTAAAATCACATAATGGGTAAAAGCTTGGTTGTCTTTAGTTCCTTGTGATACCCTATTTCTAACACCCAGACGCCTTTGTATATCCTTTCTGCAATGGAATACTCAGCCTCCAGGGGCATTGTGTATTCTAAAAGCTGAACCCCACAGAGAAAACACCTGCAAAGGCATTAAAATGGTGGGAAAGAAAGGGATTCACAAAGTGCTACTTATAAGTGACTGTCATAATAAATTTGAAAAAGAACTTTCTATTTCTTAGTTCTGCTGAAGGTGATTACTATAGGATATTTCAATACCTTAATGATCTTTAAGAAGTTAGAAAGGAAAGTTGAATATATGTAATTGTTTTATATTTAAATCTGGAATTATTTGTATTTTCAAATATTTTGAATTAAAAAGATAATAAGTTCAAGTATTATCGATGTGACTTACATATCAGTATAGCTGGATGAGAATTTTTTGATAGATTGGGCATACCACACTAATCTTTAGGATTGTAACTGCTCCATAACATTTAATGAGTTTTTGACCTTGAGAAAATTCTCATACCTGACTACTTCAATTCTTACTGTTGTCTATGGCATTGCTGCATGTGCATTTCACATTTCATATCAAACATGTGCAGGGTCATTGCCAATATTTAAGAGTAATGGGAGTACTGAAGCTGAAATTGAATTTTTAGATTAATGGATGCCATATAGCTGCTTGCTTGGAATGTATGTGCATTGTAAGCTCCTGAATAGCAATAGCATTAAGACTTATATACCACTTCACATTACTTTATAGTCCTCTCTAAGCGGTTTACAGAGTCAGCATATTACCCCCAACTATCTAGATCCTCATTTTGCTGACCTTGGAAGGATGGAAAGCTGAGTCAATCTTGAGCCAGTCAGGATCAAACTGCTGGCAGTTGGCAAAATTAGTCTGCAATACTGCATCCTTTTTATGTATATAACAGTTCAGTGCAGGTTGCAGTTCACTTATTATAGATTGTGTTGCAATATAATTTAGTTCAAAAAGCATTGATCAAAGCTATCTTCTTTTTTTATTTGACAATATAAAAGTACAATAACTGAAATATGGCCATACCATAGATTGGCTGCCTTGAAAAATTAAATAATTCATAGAGAAGTAATGGCTCTACTAATATAGGTGAAATTATCCTTTGCAGATAGAAGCTACTAAGAATTCTACTTTAAGTACCTATGCTTTTAGCAATTCACTTTCTTATTGATTTCATATTTTAAGAGCTTTTATGTTTTAAGATGCTTATTTGTGGAATTCAGACTACTGTTTGGAGTAAAATATAAACTTTTATAGCTACACTGCAGAAATGTGTCTTATCATTCTATGTTTGGTTTTATCATTATACCAGATTTATTCTCAATTGCATGTCCAACATCCAAATAAGGAAATACTTGAGCTACTTTTATCCATAATAGCATCTAGTTTCTATCCAAATAGAACCAAGGGAGAACATTATGTTGTAGGATATTAATAGAACCTTTGATATTTGATATTTAATAGTATTTTAAAGTCAAATCTCTTAAATATCTTATAAAATAATTATGTTTGCAACTAATAATCTTCAATAATTGTGAAGATTAAAATCAAGAGTTAAAATATCTCAAAGATAATGTGTAAGATTCTGTAATATATAAGCACACTATGTATACATAGCAAATGAAACAAACTCTTAATACTGTGTTTTATAACAGTCTATTTTATCATTCTTGTTAGACTGTTCCTGCAGAGGGGCTTGTATCTATATTGAAAAAAAGAGATGACAGTGAAGAAAAAAGATTGGCTCAAATCCAGCTGAAACAATCAAAAAGAAGAGTGAGATTCCAAGAAATGGAAGAAACATTAGAACAAGGTACTTTCTCCTCACTAATTTTAACTACAGAATTGCACAATCACACGAAATATAAAACCCTAAATATTCAAGTTACATATATGTGCCACATCTGCTAATATCCAAGAGAAAGGATTGAGGAAGGTAGGTTGCTCTCAACTATAGGTAATATACTTTCATGCAAACATTGTGTTGCATTGTTTTGTGGGAGATAGGTCATCTCATGAGCCCTGCCCTTTTTGAGATGGTGGCTACATGGCCACATTCACAAAATGTTTGCAATGAAAGGGATCAGATAAAACTTTGGCTTAGCTCAAGTGTAGAGTCTTAGACTTTGACACCCCAAAGGATAGGTCTTCAGTATCATGAGCTCCTAAGTACTCGTTTTCTTATATCTTGATATTTTTATCTTATCATTTATGCACCATATGGAAGAGGATTTACATTGTAGTGATTTGATGCCCTGCCCTCATTGGTTGCTTCAGGAAAAGATAACATTCCTTATCAGCGTCACCTTTGCATGTGCTGGGACACATGACTGAGTTTGTGACCCAAGAATTACTAGACTGTTCCATATACCACATGTGATCCTTTGATCTAACTGAATCATTTATTACTAAGCTTTTCCACCTGTTGTTGATTGCCTTGTTCTAGAATTTTCCACAAATCTAATTTGTCACCAGAATCTTGGCATCCTCTGCAGCATTTTTTTATTTTCTGCCAAGTTTGATTTACATATCTCTTAATAGGCTTTTTATTCTCTTTAATCATTGCACAATGTCATTAATATATATTCTATTATCCTGTTTTATGAATAGGGCAGGCAGGCAGTGGAGGAGAGGGGAAAGGGAAAGGAAGGAAAAAGGAAAGGAAAGGAATTCTATGCTAACAACAATAACACAACCCTATGCTTGGCTATTCAGCAATATGTGTGTTTCATAATCCTTATTGCCAGTTAAGATTGTACTAATTTTGTAGGGGACAGATAGAAAATATCTATAAATAGAAGGCAAAATCAAAAGTCAAATCAGAGAACCTATTAGCATGGGTGGTTGTATTGATTTTGAGGTGCTGCCATTATTCTCAGCTCTTATTTTTGGCTGGGTGTGTTATTTATGTTTTTAATTATTGGTCATATTTTTATTTTGTTTTATTTTGACCCAGAGTCATGTATATAAGTTGGGTGGACATATACATTTATTAAATAAATAAAATAAAATGTTCTTATGCAGTATTTCTAATGCAGCTGGTGGGGATGTTATCTTATATCAAAATATTACAGATTCTCTCATAAATTCAATCCCACAGTAGTGTATAACTTCACTATTAAAAAGGTCAGTAAATTAAACAGCCCATTCATAGAATCAAAAATATTTGTGTTGAGTTACTATGTTGGGGAAAAGCTAGCATAAAAATACATGGATTTTATTTTTCCATCCATGAATGAATGGAATAAAATTATACAGGCATTGTTCGCTTAAAAGGGGTAATTGGGATGTCACTAAGCAGTGCAATTGGAAAGTGTGACATTGTGACCACATTGCTTAGTGCGAGCAGTTCTGATGCTTATGGTTGCCATTGTTAAGCAATTCCATACTGTTATTAAAAGAGTTGTGGTGGTGCAGTGGTTAGAGTGCAGGATTGCAGGCTAATTTTGCTGACTGCCAGGAGTTTGATCCTCGGCTCAAGGCTGTTTCAGCCTTCCATCCTTCCGAGGTTGGTAAAATGAGGACCCAGATTGTTGAGGGTAATATGCTAACTCTGTAAACTGCTTAGGGAGAGTTGTAATGCATTATGAAGTGGTATATAAATCTAAGTGCTATTGCTAAGAGCTATTAAGTGGATTAAGCTATTAGCAACCTTCTACTGACTTCTCCACTGACTTTCCTGTCAGAAGCTGGTAGCCACGGTCACAAATGGCAATCGCATGATTGCGGGATGCTGCAAAATTGTAATCACCAGCTGGTCCCATAGCAGCCAGATCAAGATCACATGACCCTGTGGACTCTGCAAACTCTGAGACCCAATTATAAGGGCCACTCATTCAGTACCATCATTAGTTTAGATCAGAAGCCTCCAAACCCAGCAACTTTAAGACTTGTGGACTTCAACTCCCAGAATTCTCCAGCCAGCTATGCTACTATAGGAGACTACCTATAGAAGCAAGTTGTAAATACAAACAAATATTTAATTGTGCACATTTTCTTCTGCGAAAGCAAAAGAAGGAAGCTTATTGCCTAAATCTTTCTTTGGTCCAATACTGACATTTGTCTTTAGCTTTGCCCTGTCTTAGTAGAGGAAGGTGCTGGTTCTGGGCATTTATTTGGCTATTTCAGTGTTGGGAAATGTATACAGTACAGGTAAGTAAAGTATTTCAGTTATCTGCCATTCTATTCACTCTGTGCCAACTATCTTCTTTTTACAGAGGACGTTGGGGCTGGCTCCTGCATTTTGCTGATCTTACTGTGCATAGTAACTGTCTTCCTTAGTATTGGAGGAACAGCATTATACTGTACACTTGGCAACACAGAATCTGCAGTCTGTACTGACTTTACTGCCAATGTGGATTTTTACCGCAACCAGATACAGAAGGGTATAGAAGAACTTAAACACTGGATAATTTTATAATAAAAGAAGAGATATGAACATATACTAATATTTTGCTGTTGCAAGAAGAAAGAAAAATAGTTCAAGCTTTGAATAATTTGGCACTTTCAGAAGAAGTAACATGGCAGAGGAAGCATCTGTGTTTTGTACATAGGAGTTCATGTCCAGTAATTGGAGTCCTAGAGTTATTGATCAACTTTCAAGAGGTAGCATAAGAAACTGTCCTAATGTTCTCCTTTTGAAATGCTCAGAACAATTTTTTGTTTACCAACTTAGAAAAGAAAAAAAAAGTTCATCTTTCCTAAAATTTCCAATCCTCATACAGTCATGTGCAATCTCTGTAAATTTTAATACAAAGCCGCTGATTTTCCCTACATCATAATGCAAAGATACTGTTTCCAATTATCATGCAATAAGTTCATATTTAATGGAAACAAACCTTATTTGGGAATCGTGTATTTTATGTTTTTAATTATTTCAACGAATTGTAATAATTTGGATGTGACAGTGGTACAAATAGTAGCCTTCTCCAATTAAATGTTATTTAATTGTGCAACATTTTAAAATGTAGCAGTTGTAATAAGTGATGCTTTCATTATTTTCATATACAGTCTTGGAAAACACGCAGAGAGTTTTAGTAATAGATTCCTTAAAATGGATTTATAAAACAGCTTCTCTATATAAAACCAAATATAAAATATGGCTCATTTCAGTGCCAGTAATAGCCATTCAGGGTTAGCTTGAATAAGGTAGCATCCAGATTGAATAAATAAATAAATAAATAATGATTCATTTTTTTAAAAAAAAAAAGGGTTCACTTTGCACATTTATTTTTTTAGATACATTTTTGTGGTGTTGTGAGTGTACATCTAACACTGTAAAGTGGAACACAATATACTTACAAGCACTGACATAAAACTTTCTAACTTGACAGAAACATTTATTTCTTGAGTGTGATCCTAGTAACAGAAGTAGGTTTATCTCTTGAGTGTGATTCTAGTAACAGAAGTAGGTTTCTTCTCTATTACAAGCCAAAATGGGCCTTGGACAACGTTAAATCCTCTTTTGATTTTATTAAAACTACTGGTTTCTACTTCTCCAAATTATGAAGAAAAAAACAAACTGAAAAACTATATCTTTAGAACAGGGGTCTCCCACCTTGGCCACTTTAGGACTTGTGAACTTCAACTCCCAGAATTCCCCAGACAGCATGGCTGGCTGAGGAATTCTGGAAGTTGAAGTCCTCAAGTTGCGAAGTTTGGAGGCCCTTGCCCTAGAATGAAGGTATCCGACATGCATTGCACTTTCTTTATTTGAATATTGTGAGCCTCCCTGAATCACTGAAAGTCGGGTGGCAGATGAAAGTTTAATTTATTTGGGTAAGTTGCACAATCAGCCAGATATTTAGACAGAATTTGGCTTCTTTTTCTTTTTTTTACTTTTACTCCTTCCAAGAATTTCGGAGAGGCAGATGTTGATTAATATTATTATTAAGGTATCATCACATGATATAAACTAAACTAAAGCTGCCTTTTGCAACTGACTGGTGTGATTTTTGTCAATGCTGATGTTGTTGATTGGTGCTTCAGAAATTTTGGGACTGCACTCAGGATACCTGCCTATCATTGCTTTCTTTCATCACCGTTGATCTGCTTCTATTTGCAGGCTTTCATATTTCGTGATTCCCCCACCCCCCCACCCCCAGTTCTTTCTCTTCTATGCTGCTGTCTCCAGGTACTTCAGTGTTTACAGTCTAGACCTTTTTTGTCTTTCCTATCTACAGTTGTTAAATCTGGGTGTTATCAAGCAGAGGCTTGACTGCCTGAATTCCCAAGTTCTTGTTTGCAGGCAAGTGGTCATTCTTGCAGGTATTCAATGCATCATTTTTACTTTGTCATATTGCTGTTTGTAATCAGTTTGCAATATTCTTGCAATAGGAGCCCACTGTTTCTTCAGCTTCTTTGCAGAGAAGGCATTTGCAATCTGTTGCTATCTGACTTTATATGCATTTGTTCTTAAGATGTGGTCTTGTGCAGCCAAAATTAGTTCTTCTGTCTCTTTCTTCAGCTTTCCTGTTCTTAGCCATTGCCAGGTCTTGTTATCTGATCTGCCTGCTGGTTTTTTTTTAATGTACATCTAGTCCTCAACTTACGACCACAACTGAGCCCAAAATTTATGTCGCTAAGTGAGAAATTTATTAAGTGAGTTTTATGACTTTTATTGCCACATTTGTTAAGTGAATCACTACATTTGTTAAATTAGTAACCCAGTTGTTAAGTGAAACTGGTTTCCCTATTGACTCTGCTTGTCAGAAGGTGGCAAAAGAGGATCAAATGATCCAGGGACAGCGCAACTATCATAAATGTGAATCAGTTGTCCAGCAGCTGAATGTAGATGCTACAACGGTCCTAAGTCTGAAAAATGGTCATAAGTCATTTTTTTCAGGGCCGTTGTAACATCGAATGGTCACCAAGTAAACTGACTACCTGTACTGGCCATATATTACTTTGTCTTGCCATGTCTAGTCTAGTCTAGTCTTTATTTGGCCTTTCCTACAGGGCAGTTTGATAGATTTTGATATTCAGTAAGCCTTCATAGTGTGCTAGCATCTTCTTCACTGGCCTTCCGATATTCTTCCAAGCCTTTTCTTCTTCTTCAATTATCTGGTGTATCTATGCCCACCTATGCTCCTTGGAAAATAGGGTCTGTCAATGCCACTGCATCGATGAAGGGCATGATTCATTATCATTTTTCTGGTCTTTCTATCCAGGGTTTCTAGTTAACTTTAAATCCAGTCCATTAATCCATTGCAATCTAATCCACTGTATATCCGATGACTAGAGTTATCCAGGGGTTAATCACTAATAGTATTTCTGCCATTTTGTTTGGGTTTTAAAATTTTCTTCACTCTTCTGATATCTTTAGTACTAACCTTTTTTTATTTCAGTGTGCTTGCTGTTGTTAGCCTGAAAGATACCCAAGTATTTATAATAATCCCCATCCAGATTCCTAATGTTATTGCCATCTTAATTCCTTCAGTCTTCACTGTTTTCCCCATTGATCATAAGGGTGGCATATTGGTCCAGTTCAAACTCCATTGCAATATCTTGACTTTACATTTGGATGACATTGAGCATTGATTCCATTTCTGATTGTATTTTTCCCTAAAGCTTTCCATGTAAGGGAGGTTGGATAACCTGGTGGATGTTTTTGGTGTTTGATAGGCATGGCCTGACTTGCTACATGCTACAGAGCTACTCCATTAATTACCCTTACAATGCAAATATAGGTCCCAATAATGTCACTTATGTATGAAAACTATATAAATTTGCTAATCGTTCAGTATGGTTATCTGCTCCCATTATCCATAGAATTAATAACAGAGCTGCTGTGCAAATTAATATATAGGCACAAATCATGCAGCAGAAATGGTAATATTGAGAAAGTAACTTCAGTTTCATCAAGTATTATTTTAATATTTTCAACTAAATAATTAGCTGGGTTTTGTTACAAAGTAATATCTACAGTTAATCAGAAGTTCTGCAGGTTGTAGTTTGAATTTCCTCAATCTATGTCATTTTTTTTTTCTGGTATGTGGGCCAATTGTACAAAATTTATACAAAGGAACAGACAAAACTATCATTTTGTTTACTATAAATAAACTTAGAAGTAATAAAGAATGTTCCTCGCATTAAGTAAAAGATACCCTTTTAAAATTATTTGCCATGAATAAGTTATCCCGAACTTTAAGGCTGCCATGGGAAAATATGCTATACATAGAGATCTAGGCAACATGATCTAATAAAAAAAATTCATTGCCTTCATTAGAATCTAGAATCGAAGGAAAAAACAAAACAAATAGGAACATGCATTTCAATCTGGAATTGGCAATACATGAAAAATCTTGCAAAAATAAATGCTTTTTTATATTTCTACTAGTTTATTACCACTGCGGTTTGTGTGAGCCCTTTAAGGTAGACCAGATTAGATCAGAATTGCGAATATTAATACTACTTTTAATATAAGATTGCAGTAATGAAATCTTGCAAGTCCATATGTGCTTCCACCCTCCCTTCTTTAAAGGGGGATTAGGGAGGGTCATTTCTGAGGTGCTTTCCCAAATGCTGTTTCTATCCTAGATTGAGATTTATTTTATCTGACTGCTGACTCGTCCTCCTGTTCCCCAATATTATTTCTTCTGCCAATTAGTTTCAAATCTTAGAACTGTTAAAATTGGCAAAACAACTTGGGGCTATTAAGATATAATTTATAAGAAATCATATCAATCAGATCTGACTTCAGGTAGTCTTGTGTTAGCAACTACAGCTGGCATCAGGAATTCTGCCACTAGCACATGGTTGCTAAGGGAAAATAATCTGTCTGTGACTTATAACTTTTTTTCCATGTTTTCCATTAATTTTACTTGTCTCAAACTGGTAGGAAAGCATGCAAATCAGGGGACAATGGGATGCTGCAACAGTCATAAAATGCAACAGTTGTAAAGTGCCTGAATGTCAGTCATGTGACCATGGGACGCAGCAAAGGTTGTACGTGCATTTTCGCCATAGCTTCAAATTATTGCTAAGTGAGGCAGTCAGTAACTGAGTACTACTTGTAAATTTTTGTCTTTTTTCAGTTTATTGTGCCGTATAATAAATCTAGAAATCGTTATGATCTGCCTGCCAACCTTAAATCATACTCCAGAAATCCAGTCTGTAAAGGTTGTGTAATTCAGCAGAAGCCTAACAATGAATGAGAGAGAAACAAAAAATGATCATGCTTTCTTCAGTGCTTTGCAGTTCTAATTAGCCAAAGATTATCTTTTAATAAAAAAATATAATTTAATATTAATGATTTTGTGAAGCCAACTTTCACTAAATGTTGAATAAGCTTTATTTAAACCCAATGAGAGGAGAAAATTATGTGAAAGTTAGACAGGAATATGTTAATATATATGTATGTTAACATATTAACATATATATTAACATATTAATAGCCGCTGTAGCACAGTGGTTAGAATGCAGTACTGCAGGCTACTTCTGCTGATCACTGGCTGCCAGGAGTTTGGCACTTTGGATCTCACCTGCTCAAGGTTGATTCAACCTTCCATCCTTCCGAGATCAGTAAAATGAGGTCCCAGATTGTTGGGGGCAATAGGCTAATTCTATGAACCAATTAGAGAGGGCTGGAAAGTACTGTGAAGCGGTATATAAGACTTAAGTGCTATTGCTATTAATATAAAAATTAAGAGTGCTAAAAGTCCTCCATGTGTATCCATGATATCATTAGTAAAAGGCCAGCTAAAATTACCTTTATGTTTATCAAGATATTTAAATGAAGTTGGTGAGAATGTGAGGTGCTTATTAATCGCTGCTAGTTTGTCCCACATATTTTATTAATAGAGCCAAAAGCACCTTCCAAATCCACCATACTAGTGAGAATTAGAAAATAGCCAAAAGTAACATCTCTGTTCTTAAAACCTATTTGTTCATTGTAAGTAAAAAAGCTTTTCTTGAGTCTTCCAGCTTCTCCAGCAGTAAACATGAATGCAGCCTGGTTGGCATAACTAGTAGATAAATTGGGCAATATTTATTTGGATTTTGTTCGTCGTCTGTTTTGTAAATAGAGATCATTATGTCAATGGTCTGGGCATTCTGGTCCTATGTTTACTGTATTTATCCTCTTTTTTTTTGCAGGAACATTATATTAAGTCAATAGTTCATTTTAGCAATACAATTACAGAATATCGCAATGTTGGTTACAAACATACTCGGGATGGGGGGGATGTGTACAAAGACTTCCTTTTACAAAGGCTTTGATATCTTAGGGCAGAGCTAATGTTTGCAAGAATGCATAACATTCCATAACTATTTTGATATTGACTATTTTTATGATAGCACTTACTACCTGGAGCTTCTGCATTTCATATGTTCCTCTGACCTCACTGCTTTTAATGTTCCTCGCTGTATA